CTCAGTGCACCCCAGGGCCGGTGCCAGCACATCAGGCCTGGGAATCGAACCCCTAGCCCCTGGGTCTGCCTGAGCAGGGATTTTAATCCACTGAGCTATTTGGTTGGCCCTTTTTTTTTTATTTTTATGATCAGTTTTAGAATGTTCTTAATAACAATGAATCAGCATTTATTTTCCTTGTGATGTATAACAAGAATTATAACTTGTAATATTCTTTACAAGTTATATATATATAAATATAAATATTTTTCTGTAGTCCCTTAGAACTTCAGAATCTTGTTTTCTAGCTTGAGCTTAAAAATTCACAAAGATTCTGCTTCAAGATTTGTTTTTTAGGTCTGTATTTCAGATCTTTATTCTTGCCATAGGATCTATCGAGGAGCATTATGGATCCTGGGAGAATACTGTAGTACCAAGGAAGACATTCAGAGTGTGATGACTGAGGTCCGCAGGTCTCTTGGTGAGGTAGGTTTACTCTGGTAAATCCTACTGCACATAGCAGACTGCACTTTAGGAAATCTGATGGATGTGCTGGAGATGTGGCTCAGCGGTAGAGTACTTGCGTGGCAGGTATAAGGGCTTGGGTTTGATCCTGCAGCGTCTGACTTTTATGTCATCATTTGCTTTTATGTTTTTGTTAGTGTCTGGCTGAGAACACTGAAAATGTTTTTGGGATCTGTTTGTTTATTCGTTTGGTATCAGGGATTGAACTCAGGACCTTGTGCTTGTGAGCTCTCTCCCCAGCCCTGAAAGTGTATTTTAATTAGCTAATAACCAAGCCACAATGACTATGGAAAATTAAGGGTGGCAGTTCAACACTGTGAAAGCCATAACACCTGGCTATATTACTGATTAACCAGTGAAGATGAAATTTTGTTCTAACAAAATGTTCTTTGTTAAAGAAAAAGGCCAGTAAAATTCTGCTTTAGCCTGTGTGCTAAGAAAGAAGACCCCAGAGCAAGGCTGACTTTTAAAATATTTAGGTATGAAAATTCAGAGTATCTCTTGTCCAGTGTTACGCTGGATTTTTTTTTTTTTTTTTTTTTTTTTTTTTTTTTGGAACCAGGGATTGAACTCAGGCCCTTGTGCTTGCCAGGAAAGTGCTTAGTCTACTGAGCCATCTCCCTGACCCCCTGTTAAGATGGATTTTGAAAAACAAAATAACCTGGTCTATTTATCAAGTTCTTTGTTCTGTCATTATAAGTTCTACACTGGCTGAAGTTCAGTTTTTTCTTATCTAAAATGAAGGAATTGAAGCTGCTCATAACCTTGGAAGCTAAGCATAGTGATGCAAATCTATTATCCCAGCTGTTTGGTAGGCTGAGGTACTAGAAAATTGGAGCCCAGCTTGGACAACATAGCAAGACCCTCTCTCCCAATTCAAAAATAAAAACTCCTGAACATATTTTTCAGTGTGAAAGCCATGGATGGATGATTAGATGGATATAGAAATGCCCTCCTTGCATTCAGTCTCTAGTAGGGCAAAGCCTTTTAGAACTCTTAAATGAGATAATAGACTAGTATTAGGGAATAAATTCATAATAGTATTCTAGTTAGCTAAAATAGTAGTTGATGAAGTTACTTATAAAAATATGATAGGTATTTCTTTTGGCTAATATTTCAAGGGAAAGGATAAAAAAGAGAAAGAAGGCCTAAAGAACATCTACTTTGTGATAGACACTGGTTGGTGTGTTTTCCTATTAATTTGTGTGGAAAGAATTCAAATTTCCATTTAATAGATTAATAAACTGAAACTCGAAATAATTTAAGTAACTTACCCAGGACCATACAACTAGTAACTGGCAGAGTGAGAATTCAAGCCCAAGAATATCCAACTCCAAAGCCTGTGTTCCTATTACATTATTCTGAGAAGGAAAGAAAGTTTTGAAAACAGAGTTTCAAGTTCCAAAAATCCCATTGGGAGAATCCCTTCCTTAGAGAAATGCCTGACTATTTAAATGTAATATTGCATGCTATTGATGTCATTACTGAATTGATGTTTCCATTTAACATCTAGATCCCAATTGTTGAGTCAGAAATAAAGAAAGAAGCTGGTGAAATAAAACCTGAAGAGGAAATAACTGTGGGGCCAGTTCAGAAATTGGTTACTGAAATGGGTACCTATGCAACTCAGAGTGCCCTCAGCAGTTCTAGACCCACCAAGAAAGAGGAAGACAGGTAATCTGTGGTACCTGTGCCATACCAGCTGAACTGTAGATAACTCATATGTTTATTACATAACTCTTCCTGTCTGCAGTCACTTTTCTCTTAGTAGTTTGCTTTGTGACTGAAATGAAAGTCTTTACTATTTAAGGTACTTGAAAGGAGAAAGATAGTTTTTTACTCAGGAATTGTGTCAGTGGTCCTAATCTTCTGTTCCTTCCATCTGTTTTCATTGTGTTCTTTTTAAACTAAAATTATTTTGCTCACATAGAGAATTCTACAGTGGTATATGGTTGCCTTTTAGCATGTGAAAAGATACCTTGAAGGCATTTCCATTTCTCTCTTCTTTTTTCTTCTGTAGTGCTAGGGGTCAAATCCAGGACCTTGGGTACAGTAGAGGGAAACATTGTACTACTGAGCTACATAAACCAAATCAAGGTTTTTCCATTTTCTAGTTGATGGAATAATGTTTTTGATGTTTTCTCCATTTTCAACTTCATTTTTATGATGGAGATGATGAAAATGTTGATACCTAACATTTAATTGAATAATTAGTTTATACTAGGCATTGTACTAAGTAGTTTGATAGCCTTGACAACCACCCTTTGGGGTAAAATATACTATTTCCACCTTACGAAAGAGAAATTTGAGATTTGCAAAAGTTTGAAACCTGCCTAGTAAATAGATAGGCTGGGATTTGAAAGTAATTTATTAGCAGCAGTGCATACACTCTTAATTAAACATACTTGCTTTCCATTTATTTTTCTCTTGAGTCATTTGGAGGTAAGTGTTAAAGTTAAGTATATTTTGTCTTGAGAGCTTAAGAGGGAATTAAGCAAGGTCCTTATTACTGCAGGGGGCCTGAGAGAGTGGCTTTTTTGAATCGTTTATACATAAGCTACCTTCCGCTTAAGAAAGTTAATGGGTTTCATTTTCTTTGATTGTTTTGTAGACCTCCCCTAAGAGGATTTCTGCTGGATGGGGATTTTTTTGTTGCTGCCTCTCTTGCCACAACTCTCACCAAGATTGCATTGCGCTATGTAGCTTTGGTTCAGGAGAAAAAGAAGCAAAATGTAAGTCATTTACTCTGCATTTACTCAGCAACTCAGCACTCAGTTGTACTGAACAGTGAGAAACCCAAGTCTGTGCTTAATTCCCATTGTGCACGAGCTCATGGTTTAGTAGGGGCAGCGGACACAGTAATACAGTATGCCTGTGAAATTGACACAGTGTATGTGCTGTGTGATTAGTCCAGAGCAGCAGATACAAGGCTTATGGAATGATTTTTGCTTGCTAGGATTAGTCAAGGACCAAGAAGTAAATGCTTTTTTTTTGTCCCACTTCTTCATCTAGTCGTTCCTTGTCTGCTTTATCCCAAAAAGGCTTAAGAATCTTTTAAATGATTCTTATTCATGGTTTATATCTTTATCACAGCTTCTGACTGGATGTTCATTTACAGTAGTATGCTTTCATTTCCTAGCCCCCATCATTTGCACTATTGTCCTACATTTCAGACTCCTAAGTCATGTTATAAACC